GGTGTTTTTTATTTTTTCACTGTCTGTTGGGGGGTGTCCACATAAATTTGTTTAGCACAACGATTGGTGTGCCCTTGTAACCTGAAGCCCCGATTATTCACAGCGATAAATCAAATCGCATTACTTGGAAAAGAACGGCAGCAGGCGAGACTCGAGACGTGCAGAACCTCCGACATCATCTATTAATTATAAATTTTCAATACAGTCAAGTACTCAAAGATGCTTATGTCAAACGATAATTCAATTCCTCAGAACTTCTTTAAAGGCAAACTTTCAGGTTTAGGATACAAAATAAATACGGGATTATTGTTCTTCCATGCAAAATACATTTTTTTTAACAATGTGTATTTTCTTGTTTAGTTTACTACGTGCAAGTGAGGGGTGAGTATGATTTTGTAATGCCAGATTAACAAGCAGCGGTTACTCGACATTTATCGCCTGTTAAGTACTGGAACAAAGGAGGTTATACAGTAGGGGCCTTGTTGTAATTAAAGCTCCTTGACTCGAACTCTAGTTCGCCGGTACCGCCCAGTACTGGTTCTTGCGATGTCCTCTTTAGATGTTGGTTCTTCGATCCTTAAGTCGGGAACACTACGAAAATCACCCCAGATCAGTTTCATTTCTACTTTAGAGACTGGTTAAATCCTAAATATAATAAGTCCCAAAACGGGCTTAGAACAGACAGAATCTACAGATGAACCTTTTAGTTCACAAAAAGATTAAACCGCCATGCATGCTCTTAATGACTCTATTGTCTCTGCGTAGTGCAGAAGCTATGTACAATAGGAAGAAATAATATTCTAGGGAAAACTCTATTTAAAACAGTGTGAAGACTTCATTGCGTTTTAGAGACACTCGTTTATGAATTGATGATCCTCTGGGGGGAAAAAAACAACTCTTGAAATATTAGATAAAATGGTAAAGGATGTTCTTACCCGGCATTTGTCATTATAAAACATAACGTGTCATGACGAACATAATAATTATGTCAGGAATATGGCAAATGAGCAAAATCTACCCGAAAAGACTGGCTTTCTAGGTTGTGGTTTGAAAGTGGTGCTCTTTTCTTGGAACCTGGAGAACATAACTTTGTTGTTATTGAACTCGTTATTTTTTATTTTTTAAAATTTTATTTTTTCTT